AGGGGCAGAGAAAGAGGAACAGAGAGAATCCCAAGCAGGCTCTGGGCTCACAGCACAGAGCCCGATGCGGGGCCTGAGCTCACGAAACTGTGACATCACGACCTGAGCCGAAATCAAGAGCCAGACGCCTAACCGACGGAGCCACCCAGGTGCCCCGTGGGTTTGTGCTTATAATTCATAGAAGTTAAAGTCATCGTGCTCTGTTATTTTCTGTGTAGTTCGCGCTCTACTTCTCTTTTTTTTTGCAAATAAAAATGAATTCTTCAGGCTCCATAAGGCCATGTTCTGCTTTTTCTTCCCCCATCACAAACGGTTCCGTGTTTGCTCATCCCCGCTGGGCTGCTGTAGCCACCACTATTCCCACTGAAGAGTGAATTCTTTATGTCATAGAGCATGCAGTTACCCAGGCCGTTTTATAGTCAAATTTGTAATGTGATCTTTCAAAACAACCTTATAGTCTCCAGGCAATTACAAAGCCCTAGCAGATGGCAGGAAGAGAGGCCCAGAAGACCTCCTGATCAGAAATGGAGATGTCTTTCAGTTTCTTCATGAAGATGCCGAAGGTCAATGGTAAGTGTGTTCTCAGTGGTTATGATGACCTTTGCCGGGGGCACATGCACATCTAATCAAATGTTCCGCTTTACTTGTATCTTTGTTATACAGTCCCAAGAAGCAGAAATATCACATTTCTTATCAGTATCTCATTTTCATTGCTTCAGCTATGCCTATATAGCTCACTGAAAGGAATGTTAACCTTTGGTGAGTGAAACATGCTTTGAAAGAATGAAATGCTATGAGTCTGCATGCTCTTTTGTGGTTTACCCTTGGCTCAGACATTTCAACTGAGAGACCTGGCTTTGTAATGGCTACAGATCCCACTACATTTGGTCGTTGAAGTCACTCATTAACTCATCTCATTTTTAATGAATGCCTACCAGTGTGTGCCAGGAACCATGCTTTGCTACTTTACGACACAGTCACCTTCTCTTTGTCAATTCACATATTGACTTTTTAGTCCTACCATTCTACTCTAATGCATTTGACTTCATTTAGCACCGATTGCCAAGATGGTTCTGCCGAATATACCGTGTAATTATAGAGAGTCCAAAGCAGGAAGGAAATCTTGTTTGGGAGAGGACTGAGTGAACGAAACTTCCCTAAATCTTTTGGAACTTTGCTATGAAATGATTGTTGTCTTCACTGTGCCCATGACTTTAGCTGAAAGGCTACATGGAGTGTGTACTTTGACTCTAAAGGTGGACTCTAAAAAGGACCAGGCCAGGGTGAAAAGTAATGATGGATCATTAAAGTAATCAGCATTTTTGCTAGTAACCTAAGTCCCTTGTAGGTCACTCACAGGACTCAAGCACAGTGTCACGAAGGTCATTGGATTACATGTGTGTTTTGTTGTTGTCGTTACCGTATATTACCACCGTTGGCTACTAATTCATTTATCATTTAGGTTGGTGAAAAATCTAAACAGAAGAAAAGAAGGTCTGATTCCCGGGAATACTTCGCAGATTTTAATTGGTGACTATAGGTTTCGGAATGCCAAAGTTACAGGTATAATATGAACAGACTGTATACGGTTTGTTTAAAGGCTAGCAGTTTTAAAGCTTCACCAAGGATGCAGTCGACATAGGCAAGAACTTCTCTGCACTTAGAAATAGAGCTGCAAGCATATTATGTTGGCTAGGATTTTTTTTTTTTCCTTTCATAGCTTTAAAATAATGAAGAAAGATTTTTAAAACATGTTACACTTTTCCCTACGAGGTTGACTGGTATGGAAGAGAGTCTCAGATACCAAGGTGTCTTGTAAGAGATCCTTCAGAACTAAATACTGATGATGTGCTTTTAAAGTACCGGCCTTATACTGTCCAAGAACGCTTTACCCGTGTATTTCACTCAGTTCTGAGTATGTTGTTTCCTTATGTTAGCTTTCAGCCACATACACACACACACTCGTGTCTGTGTCCAAGACGTAATATATGAAGGTAGCATAAAGTAATGAGTGCTGACCTAATATTCCCTTCTATTAACCCTACACTTAATACATAAAATTTCTGTATTTGAAAATAAACCAGTATTCTTTTACATTTTCCCCCTAAGTAATACTGAGCTATCTATCAACAGGTATCACCAAAAAAACCCCACGAAAACACAGACTTTTTGTGAACATTATTATCATATGCACATATTTCCTTTGAATTCCTAGTTTTGGACTTGTATTAGAATTCTGTATTGGCTCAGTTAGAAGAGCATGCGACTCTTGAGCTCAAGGTCGTGAGTTCAAGCCCCACGTTGGGGATAGAGATTAGATGGTATAGAGATTAAATGGTATAGAGGTTGGGTATAGAGATTAAATAAATAAAGGTCACTTCTTGTTTGCTTTCTTAGGTACCCTAAATCTGGGTCACCTTTTAGAGTTTTTCCTCACCGGTTGTTGAATTATTTAGATAATTATTGAATGATTTACATAATTAGTAATCAGGAGAGTCTGACATATCTGAACTAGTTGACATTTACTTAAAACCTGCACCCAACGACTATAGAATACACCATTATTTTTAAGTGTACATGGAACATTCACCAAGATAGATCATATGCTGGGTCATTACAATAAGTCCCAATAAATTTCAGAAGACTGTAATCATATAAAGTCTTAAAAAGCATTAGAAATGGATGTCCGTGGATCTCTGGGTGGTAAGCAACGCACCTCCAAGGAACACGTGGGACAAAAAAGAGAGCACAAGAGAACTTAGAACTATTTCAAATTGGATGTTCAGATACTTGTATTACAAACTTAAAAGTCACCGCAATTCACCATATGAACGTAACAGAGGGGGATATTATGTCATCCTTTAAATAGCTGACAAGAGTCCATATTCATCCGTGATAAAAACTCTCACCCGACGAATAAAGGGAATTTCCTCAATCTGATCATGTACGCTCATGAAGAACCACAACTAACATCATACTTAATGGTGAAATATTGGAAGCCTTCGCCCTGAGATTGGGAACAAGCCAAGGATATTCACTCTCACCATTTCTATTATAGCCATTTTCATAACTCAAGATAAAGAGAGAACAAAACGAAGGGAAGAGGCAGCGCCATCATGCTGAGCACATCACGTATTTGTACAAAACCATAAGGAACCTCTACACAAAAAGACCCTAGTAGAAGTAATAAAATTTTATAAGGCCATAGTGTACAAAATCATTATACAAAATAAACTGTAATTCTCGATCCTAGCCACAGAGAATTGAAAAAACTGTGATTTCAAAAAACAATACCATTTACATTAGTAATATAAAATGTAAAATAAATAGGGATAAATCTTAACAACAGATGTCTAAGCCTTCTATACTGACAACCACGAATCACTGCTGAGATATATATAAGAGAACTTAATAAGGGGGAGGGAGAGATACCATGTTTAAGGATTGGAAATCACAGTGTTGTTAAGAAATCTCAGTGTTGTTAAGAAATCCATTGTCCCCTGAGGCACCTGCATGGCTCAATCAGTTAAGTGTCCAACTCTTAGTTTTGGCTCAGGTCACGATCTCACGGTTCATGAGTTCAAGCCCTCATTGGGGCTCTGCCAGTGCTGAGCCTACTTGGGATTCTCTCCCTCTCCCTCTCCCTCTCC